TATTTAGGATTGTCATGAAGTGAAATTATTATTTATGGTTCGTTGTTTTGTATGACTATGGCAACCTTGACTGCTCTTGACATCAGTACACGTAGGTTTCATACGGATGGGCAAATCTAAAAATCGCACCAGTAGTAATCGATATTTTAGGACAATTTCCTCCGTAGACTAAAATATAAAGAACAGTAACACAATCTGTTTTGTCTGAGACAGTAAATTAATTAAAAACAGAGGATTGGGTTTAGTTAAAAAAAAAAAACTTGGTTTTAACACAGCGAGTTGATGACAAGCTTACTAAAAAAATACTCCGCCGACCGAAAAAATATATTCACGCCGAAATACCTGAAACGGAATTGAAGTGTGATCAAGTTTCGATCGAGCGATTGCCCTTCTTCTCTACTGCAACGAAAGGCTGGATTAAAGGCCGACTTTGCGCCCCAAAATACGATAAACGCAGACGCTGGGAATAAGGAAACACAAACCTCCTGTGTCAAATCCCAAGTCAACTTTGTGGAGAGGAATAACATCTTCAGTGTTTTGATTCTATGACAGAATGCAACCAATATCAAATAAATAAATGATTCAATAATTCAATAGCACCAGTATACAAGATTTTTTTTACTCCGCTAACTATTAAAAGTGTTAAACTAACAAAACCATTAACAAATTTCAAAGTTAGAGTTGACTTAAGTGTCTGTCCATCATTTGTGGCGGTAAATTTGAAGTTCAAAATGATTCGCTTTGCCATTGTATAACATTAGCACAGCATAATTTTCATTTGAGCTGAAACCACGGGGTGAGGCTAACCTATTTATAGCATTCTCGCTCTGATGATCATCTTTGACTTGCCCCCACTAAAAACTCCTTTATGTTAAAATGAAACAGTTTCAGTGCAGTGCATGTATCACTCCTTCACTTAAAACAATTGATTTCTTTGTTTCAAAATATCTATTTATTAAGAATAAGTTTTGCCTAAAAAAATAATCTCAAGCTACTTGCCGATTTTTTCTTAGTCTTGGAGGCGAATGATGATAGCTTGCCTTCAATAAGTGAGCGGATAGCCTGCCATGATAAAAGCCAAAAAAATTAATAAAAAAATAAAAAAAAAAGAACAGAAAAGAAACAATTGGCTCGTGCGGTCAAAATCTGGCTCAGTTAAATTTTCAAAATACTTTGCTAAGTGGGACATTCAGTAACATCTTTCTCCATTAACTTAGTTGTCATATCTGCCAAATACCAGCTGTGGGGTGAGATGACCTAATAAAAACTCTCACACTTACCTGTAGTAAAACAAAATGATCAGGGTGTTCTGGAAGGCTAAGAAGTCTTGACAAAGACGCTACCCCAGCTTTAAGATCTGGATTATCTACTATAATTAAAGAATAAAATAGTACATTAGCTTCATATATTTATAGTGTCCATATTTGAATCTTGAGACTGACTGTCATATATGGTGAACCACTAGGAGCAAATTTGGTCGGTAGTGTTTTTCAGACGTTCTGTTAGCGTCTTAGCCATCTGTTAGCATTCATACAGCATGTGTTGCATTCATTCCTTGTCCTGCAATATTCCTTATCAGTGCATGCATATTTGACTGCAAGGTTTCTTGGCTGAGGGTTTATATCTATTAACTAATTTATTTTTTATTTATTTATTCAGTCATTTTATTTCACTTTATTTTTCCCTTCTACTAAGCCATCTGGCTTTAGTGAGACACATGCTCATAAGGGGGGCTTAGGGTGGGGAGCCTTGGGCCTAGTTGTAGGTTTGGCAGGTCAGTGGGGTGTTCTAGCACCTTGAGGTGCAATTGCAATTTCAGTTCCTGTGCACCTAGCCTCCTTTTGCAACTTGGGTATTAGCAGTTTGTTATGGATATGCACCTCATGATTGGTTGTCACCCATGACCTACTTGTGTGAAGAATTGCACAGCTGACATCAAAGAAATTTTTTTTGCTATTACAATGATGATGATGATGACAATGAAAACAATAATGACTATGACACTGATGGTTTTTGCAAAGGGAGGAAAACTGGAGAATGCCCAGAAAAACCATCGGAGCAAGGACAAGAACCAACCACAAACTCGACCCATACAGGATGCCTGGCCCTGGAACCAAAGCCAGGCTGCAGTTGCAGGAGGTGAACACTATAATTACAATACACTGTCAATCAAGGCTCACATGCTCATAACACAGCCAAATTACTGACTCAAGAATAGACACAACCAAAGGTATGCAAGATGAGGAAGGAGATGAAGGGTATGGGTGGGGGTCAAGTCCTCATTCAATCTCTGGACAATTTCTTAGTTCTTTTTTGCAAATGTTATTGTTTACACTTTCACTTAATTTAACTCTGACGGCCATGTTACATGCATTTTAAATCTGTTTTCCCAAACCATAGACTTTGAATATGAGCATCCATGTGCAGAATGTATAGTTTCTATAAAATAAAATCAACAGAAATATTCATACCAGTCAAATTAATCAAGCTGTCATCAAGTGAACTCTCTGCTACTAATTCAACCTCTTCTTTCTTGACAGTTTGACCAACTGCATTGTACATTTCAGCTAGAGAAGAGTAAAGAAAAAAGGAGTTTGTCCTTAACCCTTAAACTCCCATGAGTGACCAAGACAGAATTTCTTCTTACAATATCAATACAATATCAAGCAGAGAAATGACGAGAATAAAGAAAAATATAAGTTAGGGGGTTATTGGTTGATCCAATACCAAATTCTCTAAATAGCATCACATGAACTAGATGGCAGACAGTAAGGAGAATTACTAATGAGATCTTGGGAGTTGAAGGGTTAAGGCTACAGGCCTATACATCCAATCATCAAATTATAGACAAAAGGAATGGTATTGGAATGAATTTTCTCTTGAAACTTTCAAATCTAATTTTTCACTCTAGCCTTGGGTTATCTTTAACCAGCTTTGAACAACCCAGCTCAGAACTCTTGACCCATGATCCAGCCCTCATAACCTTCTGCTACCACATCATCTGCAAATCATTGCAGTTTTTATTTTTCCTTTGTTAACCTTATAACCCTAAGAGTGACAAGCATCTAATTTCTCCTTACATGATCACCTCAGAATCGCATATTTAGGTCACAGGAATAAAGGAAATGATCATCAAGTAAAAAGCTCTTGATTGTTAAAAAAATTCTCCATGTGAGTACCTTAGGAAATGTATAGAGAACAGTATGGAGAATATACAAACTGATGTTAGGGTGTAGGGGTTAAGCTTATCACATGCATATACACATAGAAGGCATTATGACATTGTGCATACACTTCATGGCGATTGGGAATGAGCTAGAGGAAAGAAGATGTTAACTTATGGCTATGAAGAACCAATTAATTACAAAAGAAGAGTGACTGAAGTACTACCAACCATTCTCAGCATATTCAACTCTCACAGCATGAGACAGTAACCAGTCAACTACACTGAGCTTTTGTGAAAAATCCAAAGGGCATTGCAGATCATCTAAATACTGAAAAAAAAAATTAATAAATTTAAATTCTTTTCAGTCCCAAGTTCAGTAAGCATCAGCACCATTTTTAGAGAAAAAAAATGATGACCTTGTCTAATATCAAGCCAATAAGCCCAGCTATAGGAGAGCAAAAATAAAATGTGGGATCAAGGTATTAACAGCCCACGGGGCAATCAATTCTTAGGCAAGCAAGAACCAAGTATTTCTTTGTGAAAAGTATGGCTACCGTCTTAGGTTTTTAAAGCAGAGGAAAGCTGGGGAAAGAAAAAATTCAACCATGAGGTTGGACATTAAGCAAGATGAAGGAGAGGGGAGTGGTGAGGAATGGAAATTTTTTTCTCTTTCCTCAGTGTTCCCTCTTTCCTCATTGTCCTTCTAATCTTCAACTAAACTGAAACATGGAGGTCCAGCAAACAACCCCTAGCTTACAGCACTTAAACTTGTTTTCCCTACTAAGATGCACTTGGCACTGCAGGTTAAGAGGTAATTAGGTTGTTTTTCAAGTGGGTAAAATAGTCTGGAAATTGACACCTGAAGACAGCCTGAGACCACACATGGCCATCCATCTTGGGATATTTCCCATACTGTGACTACTGCAAAATAATTTCTCCTAATTTTCCCAGATAATAACCTTTTTCTTAAGTTCCAATGGGTAACATGCGCTTAACCTTAAACCGCCTCTAAGTTTCTTGTCCGTTTGACCGTAAAAAAGCAAAAAAAACAAATAAATTATGTATCTAACAATTATTATTTGTTCCACGTGTAACTTCACTCGAGCTTACAATTCTTCTGGACTACTCGAAGGACAAAGACATGAATAAGCATTCACTTTTCGAGCAAAATTTCCATCAAACCTCTTTATTTCACTACAGAAACTGTTCTTTCCGGTTTGGTCGGAAATAAACATTCACCTTTTTAAAAGTTTTTGTCCATTCATTCTTTTTTGTATCTCTGAGTTCCTCTCGCTCTTCTATTCTGTAATATCGAATTTTCTGGTCTTCCAGCCACACAACAAGGTTTCTGAATTCATCTTCATCTGAAGGTTAAACAAGACATTTACATGACGCCACGTTGTTATGGGATGACGTGCCCAAATTCTACAGAAGCGTTGTATGGTATTGTACTTGTACAAAACTATCGGGCCGATAAATCAAAAATTTTTTCTTGTAAATATTTTCACATTGACTACAGGTTACTTACTGTTTACTTGAAAAGTTTCCAGGTGATGATATCCCAAGGCTTTCAGTTTTCGTCTGAACATGCTCATAGGATTGCGTAAGTGAATTCCTGTTAAGTTCCTCTCATCGTACAACGAGCGTTTGAAAAACGTGGGGTAAATAATTATTTGTTTAGTATTGCAGACGAGAAGGGACTAGGGCGAGAATTGACTGCGGGCTCACTGAAGTTTTAAAATGGCGGACGAACACAGACAATTAGTGTTTTAGATTGATTGCGCGTAATTGCCAATTTCCCGGAGAAAATAACTGGAGAATACATTTAAAGCATAAGTGGAAAAAATGGTTCATCTTTGGAGATGTCTACAATATCGTGGTGTCAATCCTTGTTCGAGCGCTTTGGAACGGGTTTTGAGGTTCGCAGGGAACAGCGGCTGTGATCAATCCTCTAGAAGCACCCATACAGACAGCAACAAGACCTCACAACTTTGGTTCGACCTCGATAAACTTGAAACAATGAATCGGCGAGAGCTACAACAGATTTGCAAGAAATGTGGTATAAAAGCCAACAACAAAACTTCGATTCTTGTTAGTGATTTGAAGGAATTTCACTCGCTTCAACTCACGAACCCGAATTCAGTTCTGCGCTTCCCTTTCATAGCTCAAACTAATTCTGCAAATTTTACCCCGGTAAAGGGTGACAAAAAGTATTTTCTTCCAACTGGACTGAAGCTAGATAAAAATAATATCTTATTTAGCTCTACCGAGTCCCCTGGTCAGTGGATAAGTGGGGAGGTGAAAAAACTACACAAAGCTGTGAAATCAAAAGGAATTATCACCAAGACTGTGGGAGAGTACAAAGGTACAACAGATAAAACAAAACAAGGGGAATTTCCAGTTAAAGGAGACATGTATTTGGCTAAAAATGCTAGTGTTTCAGCCATTTTGAATAGTGCATCAAACAGGTTCATGATTGCCATTTGGCAGAAACAACAGATAGAAAAGATGGGCGAGGAAATGTTTAATGAGTACAGAAATTTATTAGCAAAAAGTGGTAAAAAATTTCACTCATGCATGACAGACATTCTCCACAAAAAGACTGAGGAGACAGGGGAGTTTCCAGAACTTGTTTCAAGCTTGATTAAAAGTGTCTCAAAAACTGGGATTTTAAAGCTTCTTACAAAGGATAAAGTGCTGGCCACAGAGGAGTATGTAACACACTCTTCTATTGGTTATTCAGGCACTTTTGATGGACTAGCCATATATAATGGGGTACCTTGTCTGATCGAATGGAAAACATCACAAAACCCCAGACCAACACTGGATAGTTGTTTTGATGCTCCATTTCAAGTGGTGGCCTATGCAGGGGCTATCAATTCTCATCCTGTTATGAGGATTCCTGTCACAAGTTGTTTGATTGTTGTTGCTCATCATGATGGCTCAGAGGCAGATGTTCATTGGATGGACTTAGATACCTGTGAGAAATTCTGGCAAAAGTGGCTGATTAAAGTGTTGAAGTACAAAGAAAAAGTAGAAAGTGTTTCAGGGAAAAGTGATGCCTCTTGAAACAATATCAATGTGTTGGTTCTACCATACCTGAGATTCGAAATTGATCGGGTACTATCTTCCAGCACTTTCCTGTTTTCAGGAAGAATGAAACAAAACTCATCAGTGTATACATTAATGCAAGATTTATTTAAATCATTCACCCATATACTTCTTACTTCCTTTGCCCAGTGGAGGAAGATGTAGTAACTTAAGGTTAAGGGAGGTCATAAATATTACCTCCCCCTTGGTTAGAACCTCACTCTGTACATTACAAGTAACTCCTACCCTCAACACATTTCTTAGCAATCTGTTATACTTTATGAGACCCCTTTTTGTGGTACTTCTGGATCAGAAAAAAATTGATCAGGTAAAACTGTGTACACTGACCTTTTGACCTGACCTTGTGACCCAATCTAAGGTTCCAACGCAGAGCTCTCCTTCCAAGCAAACCTGAGTCCAGAATACTACTGCATATTTCATTTGTTGCTAGGGCTGGAGGAGATTTTTGCTCCAGAGGCCATATTTTTTCTATCTCTATTAAAATTATGTTGGAAGGTTCACTGCTTGCTATGTGTTGGGTTGGGTAACTGGTTGTTTGGTCCTATGTTTTATTTTGCTAAGGACCAGTTCACCAAGGTCTAAGGTCATTTTGCCAACATCTCAGGTCTGGTTAGGTTATTTCACTCATGAAACAATTGCAAAACGAAGGAAGTTCATGTCTTCAGACGTACTAAAAAAATCCAGTTTGGAAGCTGCATCAAAATATCCTTGAGTTAGACTGTGAGGATAGCAGCTTCTAAATGTTCATACAGATCAGTGAGAGATAGAGAAAAGAGAGCTGAGATTTTGTTACTGCACAAGTAAGGGGCCAATTTGTTAAGCAATAATTGCTATTATTTATTGTACTTGGAGTAGTGATGACTTAAAAGGTGTGGTTACACACACTACAGTAAATGGCATTTACCGCATTGGATCATCCTTCGGTGTATCACACGTGAGGTTACACGAAACTTGTCATTGATTTGCCAATGAATTTGACTTGAATGTGCCCTAAATCTTTAATCACGCCAAAGTTTGGAGCGTAAAATTTTATTTCATTTAAGTGTCGGCTCAGTTCAGTTCCTAGTTGCTCTTATCGTCATTGAAGCAGCTCATAGCCTGAAAAAGCACAGGCTTTGAATTTGAATCGACCAATAAGATTGTGCGTACTATATACATATATACTACACTATATACAGTTCTGTTGTGAAATGTACTGTACCCAAAACATTGACTACAGCTGAGACATCTGGCATCTGTTTCGCGGAAAATCGGAAGAAACAAAATTGGCTCCTGTTATGATGCGTTCAGTTACAATAGTTCAATCAGTGAACAATTACTGTGAGGCTGAGTGCCTGGAGCTAATTAGGAAGACTTCAACAAGAGTTGCCGGAGGTAGAACAGATTTCCCAAAGGATTAATTTTGATCACCAATGAGTATGTTTATGATGAAAATTCGAGACTCCACCGGCCTCTGATAAATTCGAAACGTTATAATGTCGTTTCAAAGGCGGATGCATGTCTGTGAGTGCTCGGGCGTTTGTAACGGCAAAATTTAGGCGCACGTGCATGTGAAAAGGAAGTGAAAATCATTTGGAAATCATGCAGAAAAACTCTTTACTTTACCACAAGATTCTCTCCTGGTCTAAAACCAGTTCTTGAAAGCTACAAGTGAGAAGGTTGCACTCACTCACACGCGTTAGATCCTTGACGTACGGCGACTTGTGACTGAACTTAGGGAAACCTGAGGTATAAATTAAGGCTTCTCATTTAGCAACTGAGTTGAGCAATTTTTACAATACAAATTAATGAATCCATTTTACATCACTCATTACTTTGTTCATCCACGACATTTGAGCATCTCACGAGCGTCAGCTATAGACACCCAAGTGTTCTTTACGTCTACAGCTTCAAGAGGGTCCAAGCTTTACATGGTCATTTGGACAGATTTTCATGTAATTCTATTCAAGAACTATCAAAAATTGTCCCTCAACCTTATTTCTAAAAGTTCTGTTGCCTCGACCTTCTTTCAGTAACCTTTGTTGTACGTCCCCTTGGTACACTTTTGCCAATAATTTGCAAGATTTTCAACCTGTCCCTTGAATGGAACCATGGATATTTACCAGAGTCTTACGTCTATGAAAATTGTTACTTTATCCTCTTTATTCAAGAATTCCTCCCTCGATAATGAAGTTCTTAGCAATTCAGACCGATTTCTAATCTGAAAGCCGTTTCTTAAATTAACGAGAAAGTAGTGGTTCTTCGTCTTGTTCAGTATCTGGAGCCTAACAATCTCAGTGAACCACTAAAATCTGACTACAAGCGATTTCACTGTTGCGAGACGGCTTTACCTTTTAACTTACATTTGAAAGTGAAAAACATAAATCGTCGATGTAGCGTGAAGACCTCTTCAGAAAGAGAGGAATATTTAGTTTTACAAATTAGCATATATGGATCGGAGGAAAGGAACTCGGCTGTTTTACCAACATGTCTATTCTCATTGTTGTTTTAAGGTCAGTTTGACTGACATTTCTATGGAATATAGCAACCGGAAAAATGAAGAGGTCATAAAAATTTCAACATAAACACAGGCAATGGATACAGGTGAATAACATAAAATGTAAAACTAGCCATGTTACCCTAGGCCTATACCTAATTATCGTCTGATCCTTTCGGGAGTGTCTTTATGAAGTTGACTGTTGGTCGAAAAAAAGTGCCAAAAAATTTATCCGTTACACGAAATAATTTTACAAATTTTAACCTTTAGTCGATTAAAATATTAACCCCAAATTTTTTTCTGGTGACCACAATGAAAAGATATTGACCATAAGCGGTAAATTGATCAGGTAAAATTTTAACTGTCAGCCTAAAAAGCCATCACCCCATAGAGATCCCCGTTCAGCTGAAGTGTGTAGCCGCGAGCCGGTCTGAAAAATTCCGTTCGGTCCACACTCGCATGGTTCTTTTGCATTTTCCACGAATGTTAATAAGTATTGTGGACGAAAACTTAAAATGAAAACAGACTTATGAAAAGAAGTCGTGTTTTTCGATAAATTTTGACTTTCAGGCTCTTTCTGACCGAAAGAAAGAAAGAGGTATGTGTAGAATATTTTTAAGCGCGCTTCCGTCCTATATATGAAATCGTGTCCTGTTAAGGTAAAAAATATATAAAAATTTTTGCAACTTAGTGGTCAGATGCTGTAATACTCACTGATTGAATTTGGTCGGGCCTAACAGGAAGATACCAGGCTCCCGGTCATCCGCTCGGCCCTCACACTCAGTCAATTAATGCTCACTCTGTGGCAATAAAACTACGAGGAAGTTTATAAGAGAGTTTAGGAAACGACGACGGCGACACCGCAGACAACGTCGGTTAAAAAATGAACTTGTATTTTACCCACGAACCTCGCGATACTCTTCAGTCATTTAGTTTGTTTCTTGCTGTCAAAACTATCTCGAAACTGAATATGGAACACGGAGTTAAATTAGAAATAGGAATTTAAAAAATTAACCGTCGCCATTCATGTTCTCCAGACGACGCAAAGTTTGGTCGTTTCTTGTTGTTGTTTTGTAGAGGACGCAAAGAAATTTACAAAGCTTTACTACGTACGTGCACAGCCACTTTTCTGCTCATTAAACCTTTTATTTAGTGACTTTCCCGTTGACGTTGCCGTCTTGGTTTTCTTAAACTCCCTATATGATTTCAGGACGGCGACGTGTGATAAAACGTCACCAAAAAAACACAACTTATTTCTTCTAAGATTTTTAACTGATATCTCGATGCGTTGACCGTTTACGATGGCGTTCACGCTACATTCTCGTTGCCGTCGCCTTCGTAATTTTCTTAAAGTCCCTTATAAGTAAACCTCGATATAACGTGATCGATGCCTACCACTATAGCTAGGTGGAGAGCATTTTATCTCCAATTGGTGGTTTTTAACTTCGATTAGATGACATCTAGGGTAGGTATATATTTTTTCCTTTAGCTCAAAGAAATTTAAGACCCGTCTCTAAATGACTATGGCAGGTGAGAGACAGCTGTACTTCAAATTCTAATTTCTGTCGAGAGGGTGCGGAATGAAGAGCACACCTGCGTATCCGGTTCGTGTCTTTTTTCAAGTGAAAAGACTTGCTAACTAGTTAAGCATATAGATTCACATAACGCAAACGAAAGTCACCTGCACTTTTAAAATTAAAATGGTTACAAACATTAAATTTTTTTTTTGAAAGGCAACGAGGCCGACTTCCTTGCGGTCGGCGAAATGATCTAAAATAGTAGCATGGTTTAGGGTATATTTCAATTTCTCGGTCCTCCTAAACAGCCAGAGGATGAATCAATTGGGGATCAATCTTTGATCCTTTATCGAACATTTTGGTTTCATCTGTTCCTCTTTCTTGTAACCATAAAAAAAAATTGCGGAATAAAAGCCAAAAATCCCTATGTAAAATGTACCCTTTGGAGTCACAATGACTTAATGTTAGTTGCGTTTTTCCGTTTTCCGATATTTTTGAGCCACGATGTTTTGCCATTTTTTATTCCGCCCAGGTATAAAACCGGAACGTAAAATTTAACTTCTCTGACGACAGCCTTTCAAGATCTCACTGAACGGGACTACTCGATCAATCTTTTTTTAAAAGAAAAAACATAAATCATGATTTAAATGCTACTTTCTACGCTTAAGTCTAAAATTGGAATTGGATGACCGAAAAAGCCCGAAAGATGAAACTAGCGTCACTTTTAAACCCGTTATGTTATGGCAACATCGAAACATTTATGCTAATAACCAAAAGAACTTTTGCTCTCATGATTTACATGACAGTAGTTTCCACAATTGTCACAGAATGTCGAAAACAACCGGTGCTTGACAGACCAGCATATAAAATCTTTCCCAAAGACATACAGTACAGTTGGGATATTGCGCCGACACTTCTCTTTTATTCGAATTATTTTAGAAGAATGGGCTTTTACTGCATTAAGATGACGTTGTCGTTGCTTTTTCTCCTTCTCTCCGCAATTTTTCCTCATTTAGTAATCACTGAAACAAACGTTAGGAAAGATGAAAGTTGTACTGTTAGCCACGCGACACCCGTGTTAGCGGCTCTCGAAAAAGCAGTGTTATTTTACAAAGAAAATGGCAAAGATTTAAACCTAGACGCATATTTTGGTCTTCGTATCGCTGAAGGTAAGAAGAGTGTGTTCCATAAGCGAACAAGTAACTTAATTACAAGTGATTTTTCCTCAGTTTTTGAAAGGTTTCTTAAATTGAAACGAAAGGCCTATATTGGCCCTTTATTTCGGCTTTAGGTTAAACGAAACGTAATTTTTTACCGTGATAGGCGCTAAAATCGCCAATAATTCTAATATTTCCTAACCTCTCGAACATAATCGACACATTTTCTTGTTCAGGTATTTTACATGAGTTAATCCGACAAAAGAAAACTGCTACAGCATTGATAAAGTCTTGCATCCTCAAGAAAGTCGTTCAACTTCAGCATTTAGTCTCTCAAATTGTTTCAAAATCGATGGCTTCACTGAGGCGCAGAGATAGGCATTACTTCAAAATGGTTGGATACACAGTGTCACAGCCCTGGCTAACAATAAAAAAGTATAAGAAAATAAACCCTAAACTCGTAACACCGTTCGACAATAAGAAACTTTCAGATGACATTCTGCATGAGTATCAGCCCTGCCTGGCCAGGTTACTTGGCAGTGCCTTATATGGGAGTAGGCCGTGTGACATGCCTAAGGAATGCTTGGAAGTGATGATGCGACCGGGAGAGGTTGGATACGTGCTGACACATCAAGCACTTTATTTCATGTTTGGTGAGCAAAGAGGTTAGTAACCGTCTTTGCCGTGAGAGACAGTATCGGTAACTGAGCAAAGATATTGGCAATATAAGTGGCTATCACTTTAGTTCAGAAGGCGGATTAGTTGACAATTTACAGCCAGTCTGATTGACCCCCTGACTGATTTAATTCCTATGTGAGTGACAGACGAACTGACTGACTCACTGATTTTATAACAAACGGACCGACTGAATTAATGAATGATTCACTGATTCACTGACTGCTAGGTAACTGATTAATTGACTGACCCACTGATAGACCGACTGACTAATTGACTGACAAACAAACAGACTGAATGACTGATTGACCGACTAAAAGACTGACTAACTGACTGACTGATCAACTGAACGACTGTCTCTGATGAGTCAATTGAAAGAATTGAACACGTGATTGATTTGCTTATTTCGCTGACGTCCGGACCTGAACAGTTGATTTATCAATTGTTTAGTTGCTAAGTTACTTAATACTTTAGTTGAATTATTTCAAAAGATTAGCCGTTAATCAATTCATTAACTAATCAGCTAATAACAGGATGTATTGGATTGATAAATTGATTGATAATTCTATTGATGTATTCTCTCCTCAGGATGCCTGTATGAGTTCTCAAGAAAGATGAAAGAGTTCAGAAGCTCTGTGGAAAAAGTATACGACAAGATTTGCTCCAATATTTACACTCAGCTGTTATTGGTCGAACAAGTTCGTCCTTTCAAGCGGATCGACGCTGATTTAATGATGGAACAAAGTGTTGTGTGTGGCCTGCTTGGATACTTTGAGTTCTTAACCCCTCATCGGTTGGCGATTATTAAAAGCTGGCAGCGACCGAATGGTTGTTATGGAGAAATCGAAAATGAGGAGGAATTAAATAGAAAACAGGGCTGGAAGACAATGAGGAAATTGCTTGTGGGGAAAGAATTGTCTGGTACGTTTTGAGCGCAATCAAAAGAAATAAAGCCCCGTTTAAACATTCGTGATAGTTGAAGATGGTTGATGATAGATTCAGCCATCATTCACCATCATTGACAATCACGTTTGCGTTCAAACAGCTCATGACAGTTGATAATAATTGACAGAATCACGAGGTGAGATCGTGAGATTATGAGTAAACATATTCTCCATACTATTCTCTATACATTTCCTAAGGTACTGATAAGGAGAATTTATCTAACAATCTCGATCTTTTTTAGTAAGTGATCATTTCCTATATTCTCGCGACCTTGATGTTGGACTCAGGGGTGATATTGTAAAGAGAAGTTGGATGCTTGTCAATCTAGCTGTGGCCAAAGAGTTAATCAAGAAAATTTAGTGTTGTATCAATGCAGTAACTCTGGCTGATAAGTTCGTCTATTCTCACTGCCTGTTTGCCAGGTATTTTATATAAATTGTGAGGTAAAATTAAGTTAATCGTTACAGTGTGGATTCTTTCAATTCGCAGATGGATGCGAGTCACACATCACTGGAGTTGGCACAGCCCTACTGTCAATTTACCTTCGTTTCTTAATTGATAACGAGCAGCTGGTGGTAAATTCAACCAAAGCTGGCGAATTCTAAGAACTAAAGTCATTGGTAAAAGGCTTCCTCGTCTCTCCTCTTTGACCCTCCTTCAGCTCGGGGAAGGTATACGGGCTCATTTCCTGAACAACGGATAGTTATCTCGACTCCACCTCACCACCCACATCACAATGTCGGGTTTTCATTATTTAGTTTTATTAATAAAATTCAGCATTGGTTGGGAAGTGTGGATGGAAGATAGAGGCGCTTGTTTAGCTTAAAAAAAGTGATTGATAATAAATAAAAGAAAGCAGTCCCATATTTTCAATGTCTGAAGCATTGATTGACTCAAGCCATCAAATTATCGAGCCGTCTAATGCTCTCTTTCAAGCGATTTAGGTATTATTAGAACGATTTTTGTGGTAAACTGTAGTCTTCAGCAACCGTTAGGGTTTCAAAGATACGTTTTGAGCAATTTTTCTACTCCATTACGTAAATGTCTCAGAGCTTATTAATCGTTTAATGAATATAACGGATTATAACCGATCATTAATTTACGCGCGACTCTAAGCAAAATCACAGGACAGTTATCATTCAATTCATAACCCATTTACGTTGATATTTGTCCTCCGAGAAATAAAGCCAGCAAATAGAAGCCAGCTCATGAGTTTCACTTCTCATCTTTATCATTTAGCATGGAAAAAAAGGCGAACTCGTTTTGTATTGTCCTTTGGTTAAGAAAGCTGATCTCAAATGCTGCTCCGGAAATCACAAAAAATCAAACAAAATTTCGCTGTCAACGCGTGATAGGAGAATTAATGGGAGGGTTATAAAATGAGTAAGTCCCCTTCTGGCTTGCTTGCTTTTAGCATTAAATGTGATGATCAATCCTAAAATCGGTAAGTACTGGATTGAAGCACGGAGAGAAGTCTGGGGCCCGAGCTTCTTGATCAGGAGTTCAATGAGCAAAACTGATTGGACCTTCGCCTCTAATTGGAAGCCTCTTGATCACACAATAGACATTACTGGCAGTTGTTTCCTTCTTAGCGATAAGATGAAATTTAATGGTTAAAAGCGTATGATGTGTTTAGTTGAATAAAAAAGGATGAAGGTTCTTTGAATTTGAAATCAAACCTCCTAAGTATCTTGATTATTAATTTTTCCCGCAAAGTAGGGCATTTAAAAATCCATGAAAGCATGTTCCATGCACACCATAGTTCGCACAGAAATTATTCACGAGACGCAGTTAAATTCTCTAAACGCTAAACATGAACTACTTCTGGTTTTTTTCAGAATAAACCAACCAAGAATATTTTTTTATTATTTTGTTGGCTTTAGGCTTTCCACGTCTGCAATTTAGAGCAGTATTTCATATGTGCTCTAGATTTTATATTATTCTCCAGCAGTTTTTGTTAAAGTCGAATGCACGTGCATCCTTTCAACTTCGTTAATGTGCTCATTCTGAATTGATAGTACGTATTTTTTGTTAAGCTCCTCTTTGATAAAGAAATTTCTTCCTTCGTGGTTTCACATACTTGTAAATTATTGAGGAGATTGTTCTAGGGATTTTTACCGTGAAAAGGAGAAATTTCAGGTAAACCGAATGGAGGCGTGTTAACAACAAATGATGTGAAGTCGCGATGTTTCCGAAACTGCTGAAAAAAATTTCGCCATTCAGTTCTATAGTAAGTAGACCTTTTTATTGTGCTGAAATTCATCATTGGACAACAGGAAATTTCAGTTATGGATTACCCCGGGCAATTCTTTTTCGACTTAGATTGATTTTATATCAACGAACAGCAATAATAGGTCAAATAAATGCTTTAACATTGCATATTAGGGTATTTGAAAGGCACCGAACTTAGATCAAATCGTACTTATAATATACTATAATATCCTTTCTAAGCCACTGAAAGATGAAAACCTTTACCACAGTCGTTATCTTTGAGTATAAATGAGTACAATGCAGTTGATTATGAGATACAATTTTAATCTCGGTTACCAAAAGTCATTTGCAAGGCAAAGATTCAAATTTTCTCATCACAAACTAGGAGTGATATTGCATGCTTCAACCTTTCTGAGTTTTTCGTATTTATTCGATATTTAATCAATATTTCTTGGATAATTTGTAACAGCATAAAAAATGAAAATGAAATGTAGGAAAACTACCCATCGTTTAAGCTCGGAGCAGCCTTAAAAAGGGACCAGGGTAAAATTTTCCACAAAGTGGAGAAGAAGTCGTCGTTAGAGTCAAGAAACGGAATTTTTTGACAGTGGAATGTTACTGGTATGGTTTATTCAAATCGACTCGTCAGATTTTTCGTAATTTTTATTTGCTGTAAGGCTTTCGCAATAGGATAAGTCAATATCCCGTCTTTGATAACATCTATGGGGAGGTTTCTCAGCTAACCCAATCAATCAGCATTTAAAGGTTATTCGTTGCAGGAATTTTTAGCTGTACGTAACCTATTATCCATAGTCCCATTCAAAACTAGATGCAATCCATATATCTGCGAGTTAGACTTGAAAAGAATTCCTCACTGATGATAACTTCAGCTCAGGTTACCTAAACGTCAGTTGCTGTCTCTGACAACAGACCCTCTCAGGCCTACCCTCAACTGGACGATCAGACTACATGATCAACTGTTAACCTTAGACCGGGTTGTTCAAAGCTGGGTCAAGATAACCCAGGGTCAGTGTGAATCCTGATTTCTGATCTGTAAGCTTTAAAAGAAACTTTAGTATAACCCTTTTCCCCACAATTTCATGATTGGATGCTCCCGAAAGAGGCTTGACAATAAAGGAACCCGGAATAAAATATAACTCTGGGTTGGTGATAATCGGCCTTTGAACAGTAAGGCCCAGAAAACCATTTACTTTAAAAGAAACCCATTGCTCGGTGATAAATTCTTATTAATAAATTTCAATCCATGTGAATTATTTGTGACAGATTCTCCTGTATTTGCTGACGGCATTTTTACTCCATCATGGCGGCGTTAGCATTATAATTTGGTCATATGGTAAGGAGGATTTAATTTCGCTAGTCATAATAACATTACATAGAAAGCTGTTTGAGTGTTACCAATCGAAACCAACGCGAACACAACTACCGATGAGAAAAAAAAGCGAGATATCCCAAGGATCTAACGAAAATCCAAGAAAAATCAAATCACTTGGTTGTGATTGGAATAACTGTTGTTGCCTGGCTTCGAATTGATCAAGAATTTGATTTGCCAAGGTGGTTGAACTTTTCTAGATCCATCACAAAGCGTAGTAAAGAGAAAACACGACTGATGCACGTTGTGATGCTGATGTCAACTCCTTGTTTCATCGGTGGAAAGATTTATACGCCCAACGTCAGATTTAGAATCCTATATAGTGTGTAATTCCGAGCTAGGTTGTTTTCGATGATTTTGGTGAGAGATCATCGCTTTTTCGCTGCCATTTTATCACAAATGGATTTAGTTAGAGTTGATGGAAACGTACGTTTTTGTGATTAACCATGAAATATGTAATAAAATCTACCGATAAACCTCCCACCTTACGTAAGGCTTACTGTGAAATTGACATCACGCAATGATCTCAAAGTATCACAAAACTTTTGTTTGAGATAAACTAAAAATCGTCAGGAAATTTAAGTGTGTACAGCTTGTTTTGGTACTTGTTAACGTTTCTGATGAAAAAAATTACGACAGCTGAAAATATACATCCTCAAAGGAGAGAAGTCGTTGTCAGCGGAAATGAAGATTGTTTTTATCGAGCTCTTGCTCTTTGGAGGGTGAAACAAGCGATGAGAAGCATAAGGAGATCAGTAAGTCGAGTCCCAGTTTGTTTCAGAAAAATCCGAAGGATTTCGGGCTGCCACTCTTTGCTATTTTCAACTTCTTCAACGCTAAATTTTCTAGAGTAATTTCTTCGTCTGATCTAACTGACTAATTATGGTAGTTTACTGTTACTGCCAAATTCCTTCCAATGCTACGCTCAATAGCCAACACATCCGACGGAAATGCCTTGTGGCGTCTTGTTCTCTGGGAGGTCTTTTTCCCGAGAAGCTGTATCATCTGGATATTTCAAACAAAAAGGGACGCTTATTACTTAACGGATTATTTAAAAAAGCAAGCTGTCCCTCGACTGCAAACTAGATGCTAAATGATTAGCCTTGGGTATAGCGGTGCCTCTGGAAAAATCCACCCTGTAACCGTGGTAAAGTTAAGCTAATGCGAGAGATACAGCATTCATGGGAAACGAGCTTGATGAGAGCAACTTATTTAGTTTCACTATTAAAGTTGAAATCTTAAGATTAGTCTCTTTTGTAGGAGGTGGTGGTGTTGTTAATGAAAGATGGTTATCTTTATTTATCGCAGAATGCTACGTTCATGACAAAATAAACGAGCCCAACCGCTCAGTCTCCTTCAATTCGAGCAGTACTGAGACAGTCTGTATCAAAGAACATTTTACCCCTGGTCGGTGGATTCGCTTCACAGGCAGCGGCAGAGCTGCCATTCCTAATAACCCGCCACAGCCACACCAATGCGGAACAATTAATCCGGGCTGGATTGATGGAGGCCATCCTAGTCAGAGTGAAGGGGTTGTGAATCGACAACTTTGCTTTGTTAATGGGACTGACGATTGCGAATTTGACTCGTACGAAATTTCAATTCGAAATTGTGGCAAGTATTATGTTTACAGACCACCAAACATAACAGAGTGTTCTCTGAGACTTTGCACTGGTACGTATGTGTGTTCACACAAATGTTAATTTAAAGAGGTTTTGTTCTGAGTTTTATGATGTTACTATAATAGATTATTTTATAGTTTACATTCATCCCTAAATTCTTGAGAAATTCGATAAAACAGAAAACAGAAATGGAAAACTGTGCTTATTCATACAGTTAAACCTGTATAAACGGCCACTAAAGGGCAATGACCGCTTAATAAGGTGCCGCTTAATACAGGTTCAACTGTATATCATGTAATTGTCTCAAGTCTGATTCCAGCATAAGCATAATTTGCACCTTCTTGATTGGCTTCAGAGCGCAGAGTGGCTGGAATATAGAGCATAGAGAGGTCGTCCTGCAAAAGTAACTCATCGAGATGAAATCATTGAACGCTCAAAGTAACGAGTGGCTTGAACAACAGCCGCACAAGTTTGACTAAATCCAATTGTTCTAGAGTGATGATGTATCTCGATGGGAGCGAAAAGAGAGACGGTCTGACGTCTAAAAGCAAAAGTTTTTAAACTGCAGCTTATTTCGTTACTCGTCCCGATTTCTGTCACTCTGAGTAACTCCCTTTTGCATCCTTTTGCATGTTAAATGGTTCAAATGCAAGCAAAGATGTTCAACTAAGATTAAGTAAAAGCTACAACTTCAGTTATTTCGAAAAACATCAAACGAGCAGCCAAAAAACTGACAGTATCGAAACAGAGTTGCTGATGTTTACAAGACAAGAGAGCAGCCTGTCTTGATTGAAATGACCTCAAACAACATTATTAAGGTAACATCTTGAGAGAAGTTAAAAAATCCCGTTATTATCTAAACTTATTTATCAATTTGGCACAGAAATCCTCGACGATTGCTTTTATAAACCTGTTGGTGTTGCCAGTTCCACTATCATCCCTGACAGTCAGATGACAGCTTCACCAGTTCGGTG